TCTCGCGGTCATTAGCGCGCTCCGGTCGGGTCAGAAAACGCGTCGAAAAATCCAATCGCTGCCGCGAGAATAATTGTCGGGCGTCGATTACAAGGTATGGCAATGCTATTCGCACACCACCGATGCACGGGAGCATCGGACGGTCGCAATTATCTCATGGGATACCGGTACCCGGTTTCCGACACGTATGTATTGGTAACTCGAGCGTTTCCCCGGCTATCCGTTCTCGCCGTACATGGGAATCGCGTTTCATACATGCGTACCGTGAATTACACTCGGGGGTACAGCGGAGGGTGAGGTGGGAAAAAAGGTCCGCGCTTGGGAAAAACTCGTCTGGAAGAAAAGCCGCAAAAACTGAAGATGACTCGCTCGACTCGTGGTGCTCTTAATTACCGTTGCCTGCGTCTGCAATCTTCTCGAGGTAAACCTTCTTGCTCTAATCGTTCATATTCCTGTCAATCTTTTTCGTATGCAAATAGTGCAAGTACGCCGGAGCACTTTTCTCGTTAACTGCGCGTTTGTTTCTGCGAGGATTATCTTCCAGCGTTCCTACAGGGTGTCCCACGAGACTCGGCAAATAAATAAGGAAAATAAAACGAAAAGGAGAAGTGAGTTGGAAAAGGGTAAATATTCATAATTTCATAGTAGGAGATAAACAAGAAACCTTAAAAGAAACCCCCCATCTTTTAATACAGATCCGACAAACTCGGAATTGATCTTTCCGTTCAAACGAGAAATGGCAGGAGACGGCAATTCTCCAATTGTGAACAATTAGAATGTCGCGGCTTCTCGCGAATTTTACTTTCACTTCACTTAAGCAGATTTTCCCCCGACCAAATTTTCATCCCAAAGCGTCACGAGGAAAGACAATTTTTCACCCTATCTTTGCTAAGATGTGACAAAAAAATATTGCAAATAAATTAGATTGGACCACTCTCTCCTATCTGCATTTTCTGTACGTACCTACTTTCTGGGACAACCTTGTATAAGGGAACATCGATATCGGTCTCGTGAAACCGCTCGCGGAATGAAGTCGCTCGCAGTAACAGATGCGACAGCAGCAAGAAAGACTCGAAAGGCGAAGTCTACCCTGCATAATGCGGGGAAAAGGAAAGAAACGAGCCAATATTCAGCCGCATCGTTACAGATGGGGATTGCAACTACCGCCGCGTGGAACTAGGAGGAGGCGGAGTTCTCCGAGTTCTGTTTGCCTGCAAATTGGCCCCCGTGGTCGTGGCCGATCTATTTTCTCCAGCCCTTCACCTCTTCCCTCCCTCCCCTGGCCACGGAAAACAATGGGTCTGTTCTTGTTAGCATGAGTGGATCTATAGGGAAACTAATGAAACTCGGCCTCGATTGCGAGCACCGCGGAATAATTTTGTTCCACAATGTCGAGAAGTTGCGCGATATGGAAACAATTGCGTTTCCAGGCTCTTCGGTCCTGAATCGCCGTACGCACGTATCTAAAAGTACGCGAGTTACATGTGTTTGCGTTAGTTGTATTGTAGCTTGCGAATGTATTATCGCAAGAGAGTATTGGAGACAGACCGTGATTATTTTCCCTTGACGTGTATCAGCGTAGAAAACGTGTTGCTTATAAATTTGTCCCAAAAGAATAAGACTAAAACTTTTTTCTGTTGATACGCCGAGAGAATTTTCTCTTAAAATTTACCCTAAAACTCGTGCAATCGTGCGACAACACGGCATTTCGAAGAATTTTGCCAGGTTCAAACCCTGGCCGAGATAAATTTTTCGCAATAAATTTAAAAATTGAAATCATTTAGACACTAACATCCCGTCTCGGCTCTTATATTCTTTATTCCTTCGAATTGTGATTTCACGTCAGAGCCTTATGAATCTTATTGTTCAATTTTGTCGGAGTTTCTTGAAATTTTACCATACATTTTACTAGTGATTATATTTAGCGTACAGTTTACTAGTAAAATGTATGGTAAAATTTCAAAAAATACTCATAAATATTTCTTCGAAATGCCGTGTTGTCCCACGATCACGCGATGTTCAAGATAAATTTTAAGAGGAAATTCTCCCCGCGTATTGGCATTCTATGAATATATCTCTTTATATTTATTTAAGATAAGACGCGGGCGGTCACATCTCTTTTAATGTTTGCCTGCTTAAATAACACCGTGCGGGCCACCCTAAAAATAACTCAGTTCTCATAAAATGCGTCTCGTTTTCCTACATGTTTTTTTCTCCCGTTCTATTCGAAGCTTGGCTTTTATATATTATACATTTGGCGCATTTAAAATAAGAATGCGCAATCGAGGCAGAATCTGTCGCGATTCGACGTCTGATGGTGAACTTTTTTCAGGGCGCAGAAACGGAAATGCATTGACGCGCCAATCACAATTCTTGATACGTCACGCACGTGCGAACGCGCCCGCTGTCGCATCGGTCTAATAAAAGAACGGCTAATGTTTAATTCAATGTTCCACACGGCACGCCGAATTGCCGGCGAACGGACGCGTGGAGAAGCGCCGCATTAATAAAATGATGAAACTGCACGTCGAATGTGCGCTTAAATTAATTCAATTTAACTTTTCTCGGTAATAAAAAGTAATTTATGAGGTATAAATGAATGTGTCTGGTTTCAAGACAAATCTCTCCAAAATGGAATTTGCGTTTAATTCATGCAATCGCAAAGTCGGTGAACTCGATAACAAAATTACATTGAGCTTTCTGAGCAAAGGGGGTAGCTGCATTAATTAATCAGGCGGTTAATAGCGTATCGGTGATCAATTCAGTATCAGAACGAGTTCCCGTAACACCATCCATTTCTTGCGCGAAAAGGCGCGCGGCGTGAAAGGCGCGATACCGTAACGCGTAAGACGATGCGTAAGAAGAGGCGGCTATCGGCCTGCCACTCGCGACCATCAATGCGCGAGAGTTTTATGGCGGTTATTAAAGCGGGTTAGGCGCGAGGGCAATAATGCCTACACCTTGCTCGTACACTTAGCACGTACGTTTAAAGTAAAATATTTACTTCCCGCCTGGAGCCCGGGCGATAATCCAGAAGGAAGGGGCCGCCGCGGCCCGGAATGCATTCCTCTTTAACGCCACTCGCATATTCAACGGGCGACACCTCGACGACGACGCGGCCCGTCGACGTGTCAGGGTCCAACGACCCACGGGGTCAGGGTAAGAATTATTGTGTATTCTACGCGCGCGCAGACGAACGTAGTCCTGCCGGAAGACCGGCGGGTCCCTAACTACGGAATCGTCCGGCATTGATAATCAAGAGTTTGTGACGGATTCAATCTACCGCACGTTTCGCGTAGTTGACATTAATAGAATTTTAATCTTGCCCGGAATGACCTTGACTCGTTGAGGAGTGGCGGAGCACCGGTATCTCTCAAAAGAGATCGCCCACCTGTGTATTCGTTACGTGGGATGTGTAATAAGAAGACGCTACAACGGTTCGACAGTCTGCATTTTCTCACGCGGATGGATGAGCGCAAGAATGATAATGGCGAGTCGTTAAACTTGCGATCATCGTGGGCGAGAAGCAGTTTCTTCACGCATCGTGGCGAGAGGAGAGCGTCACGTCGCCCGGTGGACAGATCGAAGGATCGGCGATTACCTCGAGGAAGATGGAGAGACATTGTACCTAAAGAAATGATTTCCTGACGCGGTTTTCTGAGATAAAACTCGCCTTTTTAACGTCACGATTTAACCATTTATTCGATTTGTGATTGGAAATGTCACACGCGGAGTCGCGAGGCGTAAATTCAGGCATTTACAGTACGATTTGCACTGATACGATAAGATTCTAATTCCTTGCATTCTAATTTCTTGCAGCGATTGGCGTTGGTTGTACACGGAGAGAATGTTTTCTTACAATTCACCCCGAAAATTATGTAATCGTGGAACAACGTGGTAGAACTTTATAAGAGTTTTTTGAAATTGCTAGTGAATCATGCAATCGTGGGACATGGTATTTTGAAGAACTTTATAAGAGTTTTTTTAATTTTACTAGTAAAAGTATACTAAGTTATAATTGTAAATCGTAATGAAATAATCGTACTGTAAATGTCTGAATGTTTCACCCCTCGCAACTGTCGAATAAATGATTAAATTATGACATTCGAAAGACGAGTTTTATCTCAGAAAACGGTGTTAGAAAATCTTCTACTAGTAAAATGTATGATAAACTGTCAAAAGCTCTGACAAAATTCCTCGCGTTGTCCTACGATTACATGATTCAAGATAATGATTTCAAGATAAATCTTAAGAGAAAATTCTCCCCGTGTACCCACAAAAAGTATGACAGTATGATAGAAAGTGACACCAAGTAGAAGTAAATTTGGAGAAAAAAGGCTGTTACATATTTTACATTTATCTTTGAAAAGGTATTGTATTTTTCAAATTTAAATCTTGAGGAAAAAAGAAGCTGTTGTGTATATATTCTATAAAAATTCAATAATTATTTTGTTTTGTGACAGGAAACATCGCACGGGGAGTTGCGAGGGGTAAATTCGGGCATTTACAGTGCGATTTGCACTGACACGATTAACGACACAATCGTTATCTTCTAAAGGCCTGTGTCCACGATGCTAGAACTTGGTCCAAGTTCCAGTTTCGAGAAATGTGTAGCCAATCAACTCGCAACTATTCCATGAAAGCTGCAAATTGACTGGCTGCACATTTCTCGGAACCAGAACCTGGACCAAGTTCTAGCTTCGTGGGCACAGGCCATAACTCGTGGTAGCGATTGATGTCGACTACACCGTTTCGGCTAACACAGAGCTATCTCCCGAAGTGTGATCCACGCGATGCGATTACGACGTCGCGTTTACACTCGAGATACACCTGCGTAACAAACAATCGTACGACCGCCGAGCGAGTCGCGTCCACGTGCTTGAACGAGGGTCGCCCACGCAAAACGCTTCGGCGCTCACTCTCGCTTCCGGCAGGGGGAGGGAAACGACCCGCGCTGAAATCCAAGGGAAACGCACTCGTGGGGGACAGTTCGAACTCACCAGGCAATTGATCATCGTGCACAGGACGAGGACCGTCCCACGACTTCCGCGCATTATTTCCGCTTTGCTGGCCACGCGGCTCTCCTCCGAGTCGAATCGATTTCCCGCTTCACCTGCGGCCGTACGCGCATATATCACCGCCGATAACGAGCGCGATCGTTAGCGTTCGCGCGCCGGGCGGGATGAGTTGCGTGACAGCGGCGCGAAGAGGAGACGTAAACAAGCGTGCGTAGCAGCCGGTGCGCCTTCTCCGCGATGTTGCGCGTGTACGCGCGCGTGAGGATGACTGAAACGAGACTGAACGGACCCCCGGTCGGTCTGGCTTTCGGCGCGGGAGCAGCAGGAGGAACGGAAAAGCGGCCAAGACGGGGCCCGGTGCTCCCACCTCCTCCTCGCCACGGTCTTGGGCTCCCGGTCTTCCGAGCTTCCTCCTCTTCCTCCGCCGCCTCTTCGTCCTCTCCGTCTTCGATCTCGTTTCAGTCGAACGCGGGAGAAACGAAGACCTTCCAGTCTCGCGCGCTGATAGATACTTTTTATTAAGACACACCTTTCAGACAATTCGTGGACGAATATTGTCGGTTCATCTGTAATTTAACACTTTAGATACCACGGTGGGCTTCTCTGCGCGGGCCGTAATTTTTTCAAACGGAAAGGCGCGAATCGCCCATCGAGAGACTCGGTAAACACCAACTAACAGTAACATCGTATGAATATGATTTCCTACTCGACAGTGTAACTGTTGTGTGCAACATGTGTTATATTACACTTATATTGTTGAGTGGGGAATTATATAACATTGATGTAATGTTACTGTTAGTCGGCGTTTAACGGGGGAGAATGTTTACGCTCGTGGTCTGCTGTTTATTTTGAGTTTACTTTACGTAAATAAATCAAAATGACGCAGTTTAATTCATTTGTTATTTCATACTAACGCGGACGGATACGAGTCACATGGTCTATGACAATACAAGATTCGCCTAGAACTCTGCTAATATCGATACGGTGCGTTCTGTGACAGGACATTTGTACAGCAAAGCTCTGCCAACTCGCAAAGCCGTAGCGAGAGGTCGAAGATAGACAGGAAAAGAGGGGTTTTCGTTTTCTTTTCTTGATATTTCTTTCTGCGCGACATCGATTGCTCAATAATGAACACTCGAGTTAAAAGTTTGTTTTGCAGCTAATGTGGATAATTAATAAAAAAAAGGCGAACGATGTAAGACAAACGCTTGGTTTGGCGAGTTAGAAGTTATCATTATTTCTTTTCTCTTCTTCAGTTTCACCATCATATTCCGTTTTCTCGCGATGACAAATAGAGCGAGACGTATCTTTTTATTTATTAAAGCAAACATCTCGCGTTTACTGAAAAATGTGATAAACGCAGCCGCGGCGTGTCCTCGTTGCGCTTGGAAAGCGGGTGAGATCTAATCCATCCGGACAATAATTGTAGCTCGGGCAGCACGCAAGAAAATTGACACAGAGCCGCCGGACGGAAGAGCGGAGAGAAACCGGCAAGGAAAACCGGTGGCCGGCTAAAACGCAACATATTTTACGGCGCATCGCAAGTAGGATCGCGGCGGCGGCGCGAAAGGCGCAGACGAGGCGAAGAAACGTCGCTTTGGCGAACAGGAAGTGCACTACGTCGGAATGCAAATGGAGAATTCCCGCGCTAGGACCGCGGGGTGGTCCAGCGAGAAGCGGAGCGCGGAAGTGCGCTTGCAAAATTGACCGACGGACCGCGGGAAAAAGCCACGCCGGACGACCGGCGCGGTCTCGTTTAATGCATAAATTCCTCTGGTGGATCCGCGCGGTACGTCCCGCGCGGATTATCTCCGTCGTCGATCGCGATCGATCTACGCCGACGAATCTCGGCGTGGAGTCCCGACGGATCGTTGGTGGCGGCCCGCCGATCGTTCCAGAACGGTGCTCCGGTAATCGTTGCCTCGGGATAATGTATCAAACGCCCAATTCATTACTGCGAGATCCTAGAAGCGAGCGAGTACCCTGGACCCTTTGCCGCTTGAGTGCAGGAAAGTCCTCTATTATGAGACAGGTTTTTAATATGAGACAGCAGGTTTTCAACATCCAAATTCAGTCACAAATCTTTTTTCGCAACGGTTACACGATCTAACAGTATATTGTCCACTAAACAGACTTTGCTCCGAGGGCAATAAATTCATGGTGGAATCAACTGACGATGCCTATTAATTTAACAAAACCCCGCTAATAAATAATAGGGGACTTTTCTCTACACATAAACATACCACCAATGCTCGTTTCTATCAACGCAGACTAACTTTAGTCCCGGTTTACCTTTAGTTTTTATCTTTTTCCAATTCCTGCAACTAGAAAGAGATAAAAAGTAAGTTAAACCGAGATCAGAGTTAATCTGCATTGGTAGAATTGGGCACAAACGGTCTATTTCTAGTGTCAACGGGCTCCAGTTTCGGTCCTCTCGCGAGTAATCCTCCCTTTTTTCTTATCTTGACGCGGAAACAATCGCACACTCGTTTCAGGATGCGAACGGCGAGTCCCCAATCGATATCTCTAAAGTCTAATCTACACCATGCTCTTTGCGTCTAGAAACATTCTATTTTATATACACAAATCAAAGCGCTTAAATGTACCTATGTTGTACAATTTATCAACTTAGCGCAAATATTTTAAACGTATTTATTGGCCACAAAATATAACGTTTCTAGATGCAAAAGGCACGTTGTAGATCAGGCTTAAATGTGGCAAATAGCATCGGGAAAATAAAATCCGGGCGTTGAGAAAGCCAGTCAACCCTTTGCGGCCTAATATAAGGTAAGATATGTGTTTCAAAGATTTGTTATGCGTACAAGTACTTACAAATGTCAATTACACATAAAACAATTTTAAAAAAGTAAAAAGTAATATTGACTGCTGTGTCTCACGCTTTTAAAAAGAACGCAAATATTCAATTACGCAAAAGGTACAATATATAGCGACGAGAAAAATTCAAAGAACACGACAGCTCGTAGTGGTTTCACGGCAAAACCACTGGTTACCACGCGAAGAGTTTAAAGCGCGAAAAAAATTGAAATATAATATACAACTAGAATGGAAAACCGCGAAGCTTGCCACGAATTTTTTGTCACACCATCAATCTTCCTTGTCGCCGCCTTGTGATCGTATTATCATTTGCGATTACGTTGATAATCAACTCTATTGTATAATACAATTAAATGTGCGTGGTGGCACAATTGTGGATAGCGATTCGTCATTCTTTTTTAACCGCGCGGAAAGTAGGCGCATTTCATGTACTCTTATCCCGGGAAGAATCCATGATAATGATCGAGACCATTAGTTTTCCCCGGCAAAAAGTATCGCGTCTTCATGCCGGTGTCATTTGCAGCCTGACTCGCGTTCGCCTGACACGCATCTCCTCTTCGATCTATAGGCCTGTGTCCACGATGCTAGAATTTGGACCAAGTTCAATCTCCAGCTTTAAGTATCAACCACCAGCTTTAAAGCCTAATCTACAATGTGCTCTTTGCGTCTAGAAACGTTCAATTTCATATAAGCAAATCAAAGCGCTTAAATTTTGTAGCCAACAAATATGTTTAAAAAATTTGTACACGTTGATAAATTGTACATTATACATTGTACGATCGTACATTGTCGACAAAGTTTTCAAGCGTTTTGAGCTTGGACGAAATAGAAGGTTTCTAGACGCAAAGAGCACCGTTGTATAATAAATTAGATTTAACACTCCGCGAGCTCTCTTTTTCCCCTCGCGGCGTCGCCGAAATCGGGCTAATCCGCGGTCGATCGCCGCGCGGAGATGCGGGTACAATAATGCAGCCCTGACGGACGCAGCGGCCTGCGGTCTGCGGCATTCTACACGGCTGTAAACACCGTTACGATTTCAAACAAATGTTATTCGCCGGCCGGCCGGCCAGCCAGCCGGCTGGCGCGATTCCGAGTTACTCCATGTTCGTGATCGGGTAACTTTGCGGGCCGGTGAGACACGCACTTCTCTCTGTTTAACGCGAACTGCCATCGACACGCATGCACGCACGCACGGCGCGGTGCGTCGTGTTGCGTTGCGTTAAGACCGAATCAAACTACAACAGCAATTGTTGACTCGGGTTGCATTGGAATTGGCAATTGACGATTGTCCTTTAGCCAATGAGAGCGAAGCTGCCAGCGACTCAATCAGCTAGAAAACAACCGCCAATCCCAATCCAATCCGTGTCGACAATTGCTAGTCTGATTCGGCCTTTAAAGTCCGTATCAGACTACGGGTTGAGATTGAAATTAAATTAAAATTTGATCAATCAAAGTAAAATTCACTAAGCTTGAGATTAGCAAACTTCACTCTGATCGGTAAAATTTCAATCTAATCTCAATCCGTAGTCTGATACGGGCTTAAGACCGAGTCAGACTAGCAATTGTCGACTCGGATTTGGACTTGACGATTGACGATTGTCCTTTAGCCAACGAGAGCAAAGCAGCGATTTAATCGGCTCTCACTGGCTAGAGGACAATCGTCAATCGCCAATCCCAATCCAATCCGAGTCAGCAATTGCTAGTCTGATTCGGCCTTTACGATGTGTGACGCGGTGCGCGCGTTTTACAGTAGTATCACCCGGCCAGCGGCCGACCCGCTCCCAATGAGCGCTAATGGAAAATATTTTTCTCCGCTCGCGGTTTTAATGCGTTGTACCGTTCGGTCTATTACTCTTTGATTTCAGAATATCCCTCTTTTGCCTGCGCGCAATATGTCTGCGCCGGTACCGCGCTGCGCCTCTACCGTGTCATTTCGTCTCGGAGCCAATTACCAGTCAATGATACGAATTATACGAGCGACTGGAAAGATGCGGGGAGTCAGCATCCCAGACAATAAAGCGTCTGTAAAACTTTGCGACCTTTTAGGGCGATATTCATGGCCCGATTTTATATTCAAGATCGCCTTAAGGCTGCTTAAGGCGGTCTTAGGATTCCATTCTGGAATGAAATGACGGTGCAGCGTCTCGAGATCGTAATTGAGACGAGCTTAAATGTAACATCGGACTATGAACACGGTCTTTCCACGAATCACACGTCTCTTTTACGCGAGGATCTCTGATAATAAGAGATAGATTGGATAGCAAACTTAGGACAGGCGATCAATGAACGTATCTCCTCTTACTTTTATGATCACGTAAAGTGTTATGAACACACTTTTCACACAAATACAACGTTGATAATAATTTTCATATTATTATATTATACATGCGAATTAAAACAACTGTTTATTGGATCTGTATTGTGTATTTGATAAGGTCGTCGTTTTATTATTCTTTCATTACTGATTTCGTCATGTGGAAATTTAAATTTTGTGCGATATGAATTATCTT